AGCCGATCTCGCCTACAAACCCCCCCCCCCTCCCTTCACACTCGGAGCTAGGCATGCTAAAAATGAAAATACTTTGCAAGATGCTAATCTCTACAGATCCAGATCGTCGTCTGGGTCCTCGTCGTCTTCGTCGTCGTCCTGCTCGGGCTCAAAGAAGATCTTGGCGCTGCCCGTATTGCCCCTAAGCGCGCGCTGCTCCTGCTCGCCCACGTTCTGGTGGTAGGCGTAGGGAAGCGGCACCTCCTCGCGCCGCACACGCTGCGCCTCGGTCTCGCCCAGGTTGAACGGCAGCGTCGACACCATGGTGCTATGCTTATCTCCGCCGGCTGCGTCCGGTGTGCCGGCTGGCGTCGCCGCACCCGCTTCGCTGCGCCGATCGGTCATATCGAGCTCGAGCAGGCGCAGCTCGCCATCGCTGCCCAGACTGAGCGCACCCAGCTCGTCGTGCTTCTTGCCGTTGCGCGCCTGCAGATGCAGCTCCAGCAGCGCATATCCGTCGCGCGATGCGTCCAACACGTCCGCCAGCGTCACTGCGCCCGCAAACCGCGTCGCACCACCGCTGGCGCCATTCGCAGTGCTGAGGCCGGGCTCGACACGCGCCGAGAGCGGTTCGAACGCACACGCCTCGCCCGCGCCGTCGCTCCACCAGCCCTGCGCGCCGCCGCCCGCCTCGTACGCCGCAATGCCCATGGGCCCGCGCGCCGAAACATTGCGTAGAACCTCCCAGAAGCGCGCGTCCACCTCGTCTTCCCCATCCCTGCCGGAGCTAGACGGCGGCCGAAGTCCGTACTGCTTGAACAAGTGTCGCACCAGCGCAGGCGCGTGCAGCGTCGCCGTGAGCACCGTGCCTGCCGTCGACGCCGAGCCCCAGATGAGTGGCGAATGCAGCGCTGCCACAAGTCCAGCGCATGTGCTTGCCTCGACGCCGCCCGTCTGCATGCCAACAACCAGACGCGACGATGCGCCCATACCTCCGAGCGTCTCGCGCACCAGCCCGCTCGCCTGCGCCACGCTGCTCGCGCGCACCACGGCGTTGAGCGAGTCGACCACCACCATCGTCTTGGCCGCCCCGCTACCCAGCCTACCGAGCTCGCTGCGCAAACGCTCCCTCAGCTGCTCCACCGAGCTCAACGCGCTCGCGTCGTCCGTGTAGACGTCGCCGAGCCCAGTGGCGTCAATCGTGGCGACCGCACCGTCGCCGAGAGCGTCGAGGTACGTCTCGGGCCGGCGCAGCGCTGCGACGAGCACCACCGTGTGTTTGCGCAGCGCAGCACGGCGCACGAGCTCGCGCAGCAGCTGCACCGACGACTGCACCACCGAATCCTGCACCACCACGAGCTGCTTGCCCTGGCGCTGCGACGACACGCTCTTGAGCCCGCTCGACGCGCCCTCCGCAGGCGCAAACATCACGTCGTCCAGCAGACTCTGCCCGATCGAAGACGTGCTTGCGGCGCCAGCGGCGCGCGAGCCGCCCTGAGCCCGGCTGGCAGAAGCAGACCCGGACGAGCTCTGACTCGTCGATCCACCTGTGCCGCCAGAGGCAGCAGCTTGGGTCACGGCAACAGGACCAGGCGACGTTGCGTGCTTTGTGTGCGTTGCGTGCGAAACGGATGCGGCATCGCACGAGGGAAGGAGGGTCGACTCACGCGCGGCTAGTGCGGCGGCATGGCTGGACTGATACTCGACCAGACCGCGAGCCACGGTGAGGACCTGGGTGGGCATGAAGGCGTCGTTGCTCACCTCGTCGTCCGCATGTGCGGCACTTGCGAGATGGCTCAACAGACGTCCTTCCACTTCATGCCCTAGCCGAAAAAACGCCGGCGGCTTGCGCAGCGCCTTGCCCTCTTCCAGATGCTCCGCGCGGCTCTTGAGCGCCGTGGCCGACAGGCCGCACGTCTCGTACAGACGCGGCGACGGCGGCTCGGCCTCGTCGGCGCTGGCGCCCGATGTGGACGAGGGCGTATGCGCCGACGAGCTCGATGACGCCGCATCGGCAGGCAGGTGGCCCGACTGCGACGAGGCATTGCACGAGAGTGCATCCGCCGAGTCGGTCTCGGCTCCCGCCTCTTGGTCGGCCGCATGGAAGGGGCCGGGCGCGTCCGATGGCTGGGCATCGGCCTCGACGCGGCACAGCTCATGCTGAGCTTGCTTCTCGACGGCGTCATCTGCCCGCTGGACGTTTCCCGACTCCGAATCGGCTGGTGCGGCGGCGGCGGCGGCGTTTTCGTGCTCGCCGTTGGAGTTGCTGTCCGCAGCGGTGTCCGGCTGCGGCGGCGTGTGTTGCGCGCCGTTGCCGTTTGCATCGGCGTGCGGCAGATCCGCGTGTGCGCCGAGGCTCTCGAGCTCTTCGCGCTCGAGCTCCTCGAGTTCCATGCGCATCTCGTCGGCCTCGCGCTGGAGGCTCGACTTGAACTGGCGGAGCGAGTGGATGAACTCGACGTCGGCAAACTTGTCGAAAGGCTGCGGCGACTGCCAGCGCGCGTTGGACTCGTGGTAGGCCTTGAGCCAGGGATGCTGAAGCGCCTCCTCGGCGGTGAGACGCTCGTCGGGATCCCAGGTGAGCAGCTTGGCGACGAGGTCGAGCGCGTCGCGGTTGGCGTTGGGATAGAGCTTTTCGAGCGGCACGGCGGGCATGTTGGGGAGCGACTTGATGTACGTCTTTGCGCGCTCCGAGCCGATCTTGTCGAGCACGGCGTCCGAGGGCGAGCCGAGAACATTGTTGATGCGTGCGATCTGGTCGACGTAGTCCTTGCCGCCAAAGATGGGTGCGCCGGCGATGAGTTCGGCGAGGATGCAACCGACGGACCACATGTCCATCTCGGGGCCGTAGCCCTCGCGGAAGCAGAGCATGACCTCGGGGGCGCGGTACCATCGGGTGGCGACGTAGCCGGTGAGCGGGCCGCCGGGGTAGTTGAGGCGCTTCTGCTTGCCTTTCGAGTCGGTCTTGTAGAGCTGGACGTGCAGATCCGAGGCGGGTGAAGGCGAGCGCGCCGAGTCGGAGCGAGGTGCAGTGGACGATGCGGCCTCTTGCGCTATGGCTTGTGTGTCGCTTCGGTCACCGTCGACGCTGCTGCTGAGGCTCGTTCTGGGCTTGGGCTCGGCCGCCTCCTCGCCCGAGGCGGTGGGCGCGTGGAACTCGTCCGAGTCGGCATAGGCTCGCGCCAGACCGAAATCGCAGATGCGGAGGGCGCAGTCACCGTTGACGAGGAGGTTGCTTGGCTTGAGGTCGCGGTGGATGACCTTGGCGGCGTGCATGTAGCGGACGCCGCGCAGGATCTGTGCCATGAAATACTGATGGTGCGCATCCGAGAGCGACTGTCCGGAGCGGATGATCTGAGAGAGATCGGCCTCGCTTGCGGAGAGGACGAGGTAGATCTCGGAAAAGTCGATAAAGGCGGTGTCAAAGTCGAGGAGGGCGGTGACGTTGTCGCACATGCCAATGTGACGCAAGAGGGCGACTTCGCGAAGCGCCCTGCGTGCGAGGACGTCCTTTTCAAAGATGCGGGTGACCTTTTTGATGGCGACGTTGCAATCGAGCACCTCGTCGCGGCAGAGTGCGACACAGCCGTAGGCGCCGATGCCGAGCTCGCGGACAAAGGTGTAGCGCTGCTTTACGTGGAAGGGGACGCCGAGGCAGCGGAAGGAGTGGTAGCCGCGCTCTGCGAGGTTGTGTGGCGCCATGGGGTGGTCCTCGTTGGTGTAGCGCGGAGTGCGATGGGAAGCGTTGGCGGAGGAGGACATGTTGCGACGGGTGCGTGTGCGTGTGCGGGTGCCCTGTCGGGAGCCGACCTGGTGGACCACAGAGGAGGAAGATGAAGGGGAGGGTGGTGGTGGTGGCGTCTTCTGTGCGGATGAAGAGGCGTGGGGAGGCGGGGAGGAGGGTGTTGCGTGTGGCGCCGGCATGGTCGGGGTGCAACGAGCGAGACGAGACTGAGCAAGCAGACGGCAGTGGATATGCGTGGGGTTCGAGCCGACGGCGTGCGAGTATGTCGCCGCTTGTGCAGATGCTCGGGCTCGTAAAGCGGGCGTTGGGTGTATGCTAGTGGAGATAGCAGGCGATGGTGGTGGTGGTGGTGGTGGCGGTGGTAGCTATGAATGCTTCAGGTTTGCAAGAGGGCTGCAGGGATGCATGCGCGATAATGCAGGTGCGTAGCGTGGGAGGGATGAGCAGATGCAGGGGATTGTGGGAGCGCGGAGGTGCGGGGCTGCAAGATGCGGTGCTAGAGCGACAATGGATCGATGGTAGGGAGCCGCCGCTTGAAAGGGAGCGAGAGCAGGTGGATGCTGAAAGTGAGCACGGATCGCGCGTTGGATTGGCAAAATCTAGAGTGTGGACGCCGAGGACAAAGGGAGGGATGCTGTGGTACGCAGGCGAGGGGCCCAAGCTGGTGCGACCGAGCGAACGTGCCTAGGCCGATGCGGACGCGTCGATGCGATAGAAAAGGGATGGTGCACGAAGATGGAGGCGGTCCGACGATGTGCGGATGGCTGAGCGTGTGCTGTGTCGTGTGTGCCGAGCCGAGTGGAGCCGAGACGACGTGGTCCTACGTAGATGATGATGGTGGTGGTGGTGGTGGTGGT